CCCCGGCCCCCCCACTCCCTCCCCTCTCTCCTCCCTGTCAACGCGCTCCCAACATCAGCGCCCAGCCTCCCTGTGCACCGTTGCGCCTGGCGCATGCACCGAATTCAAGTGCCGCGCTCATGTGGTGCCCACTTTTAAAGAGTTGCGCCCTCCGCACGGCTCAGACTTTCCTCTTAGAAGAATCACCGAAATGAAGAGCGGCGCCAACCCGGCACCATGCGCTCCAGGCTCCCGCGGACCGCCTGCTTAGTGCGACTCATTGCGCTCTCCATCCTCCTCACACACACCGCAGCTTATTTTGGGTCAGCCATTGTCGTGTTTTCTTCTTCTGTCCATCACATCTACTGCCAGATCTTGCGTTTGCTGTTTTAAATTAACACACGCAAACATTTACGCACGCGTTTTTTTTTTCGCACAAGCTGTTCAGAGTAGTATGGATGAATTTTTACTTCATCAGGATGAATATCAGGCATCTAACAGTCTTCATTAAAGATGCACGGAACCAAAACAAGACTTGTTTACTGATAAGATGAAGTCCTTTTTGGTCCGCGTGCGTCCTTTTCTTTCGGTAATGCGTGCGTAAACTGGATTAACGCGCAGGTTGATATGTTTATATTCTGTTCATAACATTTCTAAACATATATATTTTTAATTTCTATAAACTTCGACATCTGGCCCAGAATATTTGGCAGAGTGGATTTAGCCAACATGAGAGATATCTGAAATGAAAAGTTCTCTGTTGTTGTCTTCCTGCTTCTCCAAGGCTGACAGGTCGAGAACCCTTGGTGTTTTTACCGGGTCCTTTTTCCAATGAACCGTCGTCAGGGAAGGCGCACCTGAAGCAGTGTGAACAGATGACTCTGACCAGGCGGCAGAAGAGGCTCTGTCGCCGGGAGCCCGGTTTGGCGGAGACTCTGCGGGAGTCAGTGCGCCTCAGCCTGCTGGAGTGTCGCTATCAGTTCAGGAGTGAGCGCTGGAACTGCAGCCTGGATGGACGTGGAAGCCTCCTGAAGAGAGGTGAGGCTCACGGGTTATACATTCTTTACGTGTTTAAATGCCTCCTTTATGTGTGCTTATCTGCAGTGTTTTCAGACCTTAAGGGAGATTTAGTTTAAATGTCCACATTTATTATATATTTCATTTTCCGTCTCGTGTGTTTATAAAATCTATCAGGACGACAGAGTGATTGTTCCACATTATGGGAAAAATAATTACCAAAAGTTAATAATAATATATGAACAGTACAAGTAGTAGAAGGTAAAATATTTGTATATATTGACTAGTATGCGTTATTTTGTCAGTTAAATAGTTCAATGTCTGAAGGCAAGTTTGAAATGTAATTTCACCATTCAAAAATGACCGCTTTTTTGGCTTCTCTTTTGTCTGACTCTTGAAAAGATTTCCAACATCTACTCAAATACCACACTCTTAAAACAATCTATATATTCAGGTACTGACTCAAAACAAAGTGAAATTGTCCTGCGGGTCTACTGTGTAGTGAAAAAGTGCAAGCATTTTCAGTACAGGGTTTGTGTGTGTGTGTGTGTGATATCAGTGACCAGACACGAACAGGTCAGCATGGATGTAATGACGGAGTAGGAAGCCAAGAAATGTTAGTGTGGTGAGGAACGCTCAAGCGCTGTGGTTATTTTTATCTCGGGAAAGCGCCCATTCCCAGAGGAAAAGGGTGGTATGATTACCCACTTTCATCTGGGAAAATCCTTCCTAGTCAAAATAATAATTAATTGGATCAAAAATACACCCTGGTGACGGCACTGGCAGAAGAAAAATAACTCTGCAAAACCCAAAAGTAAAGGGTCACAAAATCATGACACATAAAAACCTGCTGACATTGTTTTTTCCAACAATGACAATGAAGTGGCACTGTGTGAAAAAAAAATCTGAAATGTTTCTATAAATATCAAGATAAGAAATGACAAGGGGGCATTTAGTGTGCTAGTAATGCATGTAACGACGTAGAGTAGTGGTAACTTAGCATCGTAGCAAAAGGTAGGCTGCAACTGGTAAACATTTAGAAAGTTATGTTAGTCAGTGAAAGTAATGTAGAAAGTAACCTTAAAATGCTAACAGTTAGCTTAAGGTACGCCAAGAATAAACAAATACAGCCAACGTTTAGTGAAATATAGCTAAAAGTTTAGCAAAAAGATGATAAAATTGTAGTAATTGCAATTACCCCAAAAATACCTAAGTTAAAATTATCTTACGGTAATGATTAAATGTAGCAAAACTAGTCAAATTGCATCACGTTGTCAAAGAAAAAGCTAAATATTATACTGAAATTAGGGATGTCAAAATGATCAAATAAATCCTGCTAATTAATTTCTAAAAATGATTACACTAAAGTTGTTGTTTTTCTTGACATTTTTCAATACTTCTTATTGGACTATTCTAAAAAGTTCCCCTTGTCTTGTGGTCTCTGTTTATATGTAAGCACAGAGATTCAAATTCTGCATTTGGCCAATATCTGCTTCTTATGCTGACGATGTATTTCTTTACAACTTTCACAGCAATTAAAGAGACGGCGTTCCTACTGGCAGTGTCCTCGGCCGCTCTGACACATGCTCTTGCTAAAGCATGCAGCTCAGGCCGCATGGAGAGGTGCACGTGTGACGATTCTCCCGGCATCCAGCACCGAGAAGCGTGGCAGTGGGGGATCTGTGGCGACAACCTAAAGTACAGCACCAAGTTTCTGAAGAAGTTCCTCGGCCAGAAGAGAGTCAGCAAGGACATGAGGGCTCAGGTCGACATCCATAACATCAATGTGGGAATTAAGGTTAGTTATTCTGAGAAATTGAAAAAAAAAAGTGGATGCAATGTATTCTCTTTCAACCAGAGGGCGTCGGTTAGGGGCCCAGTGTCCTAGAGCAGCGTTTCCCAAACTTTTTTTTTCGGGACCCATATTTAAAAGTCACAAACCTTCGTAACCCAAGTCCACAGACATTTTTCGTAAACTCCTGGGAAACATGATGCGAGACGACCCAAAACAAATCTCGTGACCCACCTGAGTGTCGCGACCCAGTCTTTGGGAAACAATGTCCTAGAGGATGGTACTTAAGCTGATCATCATACCCAGCTGAAGGGTATCACAAATTGCCAGGATGAGACGCAACAAAAACACTAGCAAAACAGACCTTTGTAGACTAGATCAGTCGACATTTGAGCGGATTGTGAAAAAGTACGCCCTCACTTTATTCACTCTCCCTTTTATGAGGAGTTGCCACCCAAGGTTTCAAAACCTGCACCTATGTACCTGAGCCACACTTAGCTCAATTAGCAGGTCTGCAATTGTGCACGACAATTATAGCTCTGACTCCTGCGCCATTAGAAAGTAAAGAATTGCAGTCTTCACCGGGATGATGTCTCCGAGTGCCAGCCAGACAAACCCACCACTCCCCTTTTTTGCTGCCGTCACTGGCCTTGGCGGATAATGCGGAGGCAGAGCGTGAGGCAGCCTAGCGGGGAGACAGGGCGGCTGTGGGATCGCTGGAGCCAGGTGTTCTCAGGCATGATAAAGCTTGTTGTACAGGGCCTGAAGAAAATTAAAGGTCTCAATGCGTAGAGAACGGTGGCCTCTTTTTTAATATACGAGCGAGCATTTTTTTCCTCTTACTGGATCACCGTGCACTTCATAAATCCAGCTAATGTTCATAACCACCACTGTGGAGATGCGAGACAGCAGGGGCCCCCTCAGGGTCCCTTCTCCCACAGCCCCTCCCGCAGAAGGACAACAGGAAGGAGCGAGGGCCAACTATCTTATCTCTGCCGAGTTGAATGTTTTTTTTCTTTGCTTGTCACCAATGTGACTCAGAAGACCCGCGTTAACAAAAACACAAATTGCCCACTACCCCCCGAGTTAATGGTGCTCTGCAGACCCCGAGGCGTCCATACCTGTAAAAGGAGGAACCGAGCAGAACTTTTCAACTTAGAAGTACCCTCTGGCTGTCCCGCGGTGACCTGTCTCTGGCCCCCACCTCGACAGAAGCCTGAGTGATGGCGCTCTCATCGCTGACCATCAAACCCAATGAACTATTAACCTGCATCATTGCAAAGGGATGCGTGTTTTTTTTTTTTTTTTTGGCACTTATAGAGCAGAAATTCTTATCAGTGTTTTCCATGAGCAGACACGTACTAAAACAAGGTGGAGAGATTCCACTGTCTGCCCTGTTTGTCACCTCCGCCTCAGGCTGTAGGAAAGAAAAATCAACAGACAGCTAGTTTCCACATATTAAGGAGGAGAAAAAAAATCACAAGAGCTGTCCGAGTGAGTAATGTGAGGTAAATGAAATACGGCGTCCTCAACAGCCCACCCCCCTTCAATCCATTATGTCAAAATTTTTGACTGAGGTTAGCTAAAGGGGGAAGACCACCGGGGCCTTAAGCCTCTACTCGCCCTGCAGGAAACTGTCTCACCCTGTCCAGATAGATGTCCAAAGATAAGAGGCCGGGTAATGAATCAAACCAAAGACCTGACATCTCTTTCCTTTTTTTTTTTTCTCAGGCGGTGAAGAGCGGCCTGAAAACCACCTGCAAGTGCCACGGCGTCTCGGGCTCCTGCGCCGTACGGACCTGCTGGAAGCAGCTGTCACCTTTTCACGACACTGGGCGGCTGCTGAAGTTTCGCTACGACACCGCGGTGAGAGTGCTAAGTGTCACTAACGCAGCCACGGGAGAGACCGAGCTCACGGGACCTCGCCGGCAGAGCCAGAGCCTGCGCAGTACGGACCTGGTCTTCATGGAAGACTCCCCCAGCTTCTGCAGGCCATCGCGCTACTCGGCGGGCACAGGCGGCCGCTCCTGTGCCAAGGACACCACCTGTCAGAGTCTGTGCTGTGGGCGGGGTTACAACACGGCCATGCATCTCACCACCATGTCCTGCCACTGCCAGGTACGCTGGTGCTGCCACGTGGAGTGTCAAACGTGTCAGAGGGAGGAGGAGGTCTACACCTGCAAGGCAGCGTGAGAAGAAGGAGACGGACTTGCAAACAACAAAAAACAAATCCAACAACACCAAACGACCACAGTCCTTCTACAGTATACCAGAGAAAGACGTTAAAGATCTGTATCTCAGAGTCGCGTGCATCAGAGACCACTTGTATAAAAATGGACCTAGTCAATGTGGCCGTCATGGTGAAGCCCTGGACGTACACCGTAACGGATGCTAGCTTTGGAAGTAGCTAATTAGGCGAATTTTCATTTGATCTGGTTGAAGTTTATGAAGAAAATGTTTACCAACAACACAACGAAGTGAGAATAAGACATATTTCTTTCACCAACACAACAAAGTGAGAATAAGACATATTTCTTTCACACTTCTAATAATACGGAGTCCGGCTGCGCCATTATGGCCAAAATGATAGTCACGATTCTTTTTACCAATATTAAAAATCGCAATTATTAATCATGATTATCAATCACGATTATTCATCATGTCAGGCAAAACATATTTTTATTGCACTTTCTATTTTAAACAAACAGTATGTGAACTTTCAGTTCAGTTTTGGGTCGCCCCCTGGTGGTTGAGAAAGTGCTTAATTCCATTTCCAACAGAGCCTGATTTTTAAATGTTAATATCACCAGCGGTCATCGTAATTTAAACGTGGCAGCCAAAATCATGATCGGGATTAAAAATTGAATAAAAAATTGTGCAACCCTAATATAGCATTAGCATATTAGCATTTGGTAATGACTTCAGCTACTGTGCCCAACTGCATCTAGGGCTTGCAAAAAAAATACAAGCTACATTCTAGCGGCCAATGTCAGAAAACACAATGGACGCTCCCATGTAAGTATCCCAGTGTGGCCAGCTGCAATGTCGCCGTGAGCAGCCATCTTCTTTTGGAAATCCTCTCAGTTTCTCCGTGTGACCAGTAGGGGTTAGGTTCTGAGGCGAAGAAAACGTGTAGCTGGGTTCAGCACTCCAGCTTCCTATATCAGGAGAACTGTCTACATCCATTTACTTCGTAGGCGGTGCATGATTTTTAAATTTTTGGAATATATTTTTGAATCGTGTTATAATATTGAATATGCAAAAAAACCCACTAATTCCATATCCAGTAGCTGAGGCTTCAAAACCACTTGTTCCTTCGCTCAATGGATGCACTGAACTCCCACTCTTTACTGAGACCGAGGGAACCAAGCTCTTAAACAAAGGTACTGGACTGGGCTGGATTGAACTGGTCTGAGCTGGACTGGACTGGACAGCAGTGCATTTGGACTTTTTGACGTGTTGTAATTAGTATTGCTCTCTGACTTGACTATTTATTCAGTCAGTGTTTCTGTCATGCTGCTGCTTCATACCTGACCTTGTTTATATATTCGACAGAAAAAAAAGGCACGTTTGATTAGATGTTCCCAGAGACGTCGGCACCCCTGCTGTTCAGAAACCGATACTGCACCAAGAGTAACAGCTGCTGACTTGCTGTTTCCATAACACGTCAGAAGGTTTCTTTCCAGCATAGCTGAAACGTTACATCTTGTGATTTCACATACTCCACATCGCCAGAGGCGGGAGTTGTGCGTTTCGTGCCTCTGCGCGTATTTTCATCGAGTTCCGATGCAGTTGCCAAACATTTCTACGCCACATTTTTGAGAACACTGTCAGAGGGAACATTCATTTTTATATACTGTACATGCCATCATATATACGATATCATCCCGCCTTTCTATCTACCGCACGTTCTCCTCCGTCACTTTAAGTCACTACAGTTTCAGAGCCACTGGGCCTAAATGACTTGTCTGTCGATCTGCTGTTTCATGTTCTGCTGCGGAGAATGTTATCGGAACTATCCGGAGTAAAAAGCACTTATTGTTGCTCTTGCTGGAGATAATCAAGGGTGCAGTTCATCACAGATGGCTTAGAGCAGGGGTGTCAAACCTTTGGTTCAGGGGCCAGACCGGACCAGTACAATCAGAACATAATTACCCCCTTTCTTTTCCTACAAGTATTTTTTTTTTAAATATTCATATTCAATGAAATATAATTTGAAAAAACATCACTAACATGAAGTGTTTGTGCCTGTTTTTTTCATTTTCAAAATTCATCACATGGGCCCAATTGAACTCCCCAAGCGGGCCAGTTTTGGCCCGAGCGCCGTATGTTTGACACCCCTGGTTTAGAGAGTTGCATTCAAACGTATGTATGAAATCCTGACAACCACTGGATTCTGTAAGGGCTGACTGGAAATGCGGCTACACGCATGATGTGGGTAATTGTGTTAAGAAACAAGCTGGGTTTCAGTTGCTCTTATGGAAATGTCTATGGAAATGTTTTACATGTGTGCTGGACAGAACTAAAAGCCCTCCACCCCGGGGTAAACACTTTATTTGTGAACATACCAGACATGTTCTGTAGTTTTTTTTTAAAAAAACTTCTATTTATGGAAAGGGATCCTTTTATGTTTATAGCTGACCGTCTGAGGCATTTAATCTTCAAGGTCTAATTTATCCACATCTTTGTTCTCGAAGACTTTGAACCTAATCATCAAAACCTTATTTTCCCTCCAAATACTGTAGCTAATCAGCAACATTCACGTTCGGGTGAAACATGCCTGGGAGAGCTAAGATTTTTTCTATTTTTATTGGCCATTTAATGTGTAAAGTTGGAGCGATCCTCAGACGTATATGAACATATGATGAGCACGTCACTCATGTCAGGGGCTGGAGAGCGGGTTCCACTGTGGAACGGGTGGTTTCTCTACCTCACCTCATCTTTTGGCAAATATCAGTCCGATTGATTGGCTACACGTGGGTGAGTTGTTCTGTTTGTAGATAAAAGTTCTTTCTCCGCTGTTGTTTTAAAGCTCATACAATTGTGTGCAAAGGATTTCAGCCACTCCCGGTTTTATGTCTTGCCCCAAAAATGTGATACATAATGAATCATTTTGGTTCAACAGAAACTTTTACCACTCTATTGTAATATTAAAACATATTTTTCAATACACCTTGAACATTTTTTCCCCCTGGGAACATTTAAAAATACAGATTTATTTTGGAATATTCTACTATTAATATATGTATATCTGCTTTTCCTGGGTAAAATATAAAACAAGGTGGCAAAATACCTTTGCACACAGCTGTATATTATATTTTTTGGATTATTTTTACATATATATTCAAATGTAAAAAAATATATATATATATTTCAGTGTATTTTTGTGTCTAATACTTCTGCATTTTGTTCCTATTTAAAGTAAATAAGATGAATAAATGGTTGTAAGTTTGTAAAAAAAAAA